TGTGTGTGTGTGTGTGTTTTCCAGGTATGATTTTTATTTTTATTTTTTTGTGGCCAGCTCAGCCAGTCCTGAAGAGTGGGGCTGGCACAGCATGTGCTATTGGGGATCAAATTGTGAGATTGAACTGCAGTCTCTGTGCTTGCCTAAGTCTGCTGAGTTATCTCACTGGCCCCCAAGTACAGTTTTTGTTACGTATATATAGTACAGGATCTACAGGGTCTCACTACACAAATCAGTCTTATAGTGATCCTCCTATTTTCAGCCTCCTAAGTGCTGGGATTACAGGCCCATGCCACCATGCCCAGTCTCAGTTGCCATCTCAGCATGCCCCTGGGGGGGTGCTGGCATGGCATGCTGGGGATCGAACCATGGTCTCTGAGCTTGCCTGAGCAGGTGCTTTAGTCCGCTGAGCTATCCGGCTGGCCCTAGCTTCAGGTACAATTTTTAAAGATTTCTTTTTCCCATAGAAAATAATAAAAATTAGCCACTTAAAAGAGCTAGAGTGAGGGTAAGGAAGAGTATTGTGGGCAAATAGAATAGCATATTGGGTAATAGGAAAAGAAGTTGGAAGACATAAGGCAAAAATGTAAGCAGTAGTCAGTTCATAGGAATCCCTGGATGCTCTGCATTTACATTTACATTTTATATTTATGTCTATGTAAAGCCACTGAAGGATTTTTAAGTAAAGTTAGATAGGCAGCTAAGTAAAAGATTTCCATATTATAATAATCCCATGGCTGGGAACATATTCACATAGTCAAGTAATTTAAATCAGTAACAAATGTAATATTTATTCAATAACAGGGACAATAAGTTTGTTAACTACTTAGCTATAAGATACATTATTCTTACTTCAATCCCCACACTAAAATGATTAAAGAGTAAAGTTGAAAAAATTACTGTATTTCATATGTTAGACAAAGATGAGTTAATGTGACATGTGAGACCCTCTTAATCTACTGGGAAAAGTGAACATTCAGAAGTGCTTTGCATGAGAGATTCTTCATGCTTCCAAAGCACATACAAGCACATGTTGTACCTCACTGGTGAGTGGACCAGGAGCGTGGTGCACTGGGTGATCCTGGGGAGCAGTTCTGAGGATCATGCAGTCTTGGGTGTGGCTGTGGCTGACGTGGAACGGAGGGAAGTGGAACGGAGGAAGCTCACAGAACTCTGAGAACAAGTTCTGATGGTCTCCAAGGACCCTTATACGATCTAAGAGAAGTCAAGAAGTCCAGGGTGAGAGGAACCTGGTGTCATGGCCTGGTAGACAGATGGCAGTCTGTGATTGGCAGTGGTGAGGAGGGGCAGAAGGCAGGCTAGCCAAAGACACGTGCAGCCGTGGAGACAGTCAGCACGTGGTTTCTACCAAATAAAGTGCATGAGCTTGGCTAATCACATTACTCCTGAGATCTCCTGAGTGTTTCCCTGACATCTCCCTGTATCTGTTGCCTGAGTGGTGATGGTGGGGTATGATTGAGTTAGCAGCCTGTGTGCTGCCTCAATGGATCTGAAGCTCTCTTACCAGACAGAGCTCTCATGGGAGAGATGGGTAAAAAAGCACTGCATGGTTTTAAGTGCATAATCTGAGTAGTCCTCATGAAGTTTAAGTATCCTGTACCATGAAAATTCCTACAGTGAAAAGAAATCTATGAATTCCTTCCAATGAAAAGAAATTAAATGAAGTTTACCCAATATGGCCAGTGAGTCTCTTTCACTTACGTGAGCATCGTCTGGCAGTTTATTCATCTAAGATGTATTTATTTCCCCGAAATCATCTGTTATGAAATTTAGTCTTAGTCCTACATTAAGGGAAATTGAATGAGATAAGTAAGGTAGCTTTGTAAATCTGTCCCCAGTATAGCTCACTTTTGCATTAAAAATAATTCTAAGTGGATAAAGATAAATTGGAGGACCTCCCTTGCTTTATCTTTACTTATATCTGCAAGCAACAGAAAATTTAATGCAATATTTTCTTTTAATCTCATGGCAGTTTCAAGTCATGGGTCAAAAGTGGTACCTGGATAACTTTTATCATGCAATATCATTTAACTTTACAACAAGTGAATGTGCTGCAGAAGTGTGTTTGAATCTGTATCCAGCAACTGATTACACAGTGAATATCACCCTGCTGGGGCCTCCTGAGCAGCATTCAGTACAAACGACAATCACGACTGCACCAACAGGTAGGTGTTGATGTCCTTGTGTTTTGTACCAGGGAACCGTGTCTGAACTGAACTGTGCAGAGTGGGGCAGCATAAGGGATGTGGGTTAGGAAATGGGTTCTAGTTCTAGACCCTCGCTGGTGGGAAGGGATGCAGATTTTTTTTTTTTTTTTACCATTCTGTTCATTCTTTAATCCTTTGGGTATGACAGATAAATTTACAGGCAGCCAGGAGAAGGGGGTGGGCAGTGTAGCCTTTGCTCTTGAGCTACAGTAAGTACATGAGGCATGAATGCATCTGTTGTTTCCCAATTTGGTAAGCGTGGGGATGATCTGAAGAGCTCATTGAAATACGGATTCCAGGGGCTTTACTGCAGAGGTTCTAATTCAGTTAAGTTTAGGATGAGCATCCAAAACTTTTGTTCCTTGCAAACTCCCAGGCCTTGCTAGTCCTCCCAGCTGACATTTGGAGAGTGCTGCTTCAGTTGCATAGATCTTAGCTATCTGTAGGCAGTTTAAAAGTCACAGAGATATGATAAAAGCAGAGGCAAAAAAATGTGATTATTAAACTAATTCTGTCTGCTCAGGCCTCAGAAGCCTGTGTGTTAAAACTTGCCCTGGTTGGTGAAATTTTCCTGATGATTGGGTATCATCTTCATCTCTTCCCACATTCCAGCTGCAGTGACTACAGACCCTCCTTCTCCTGGGTACTCTCTTCCCCTACGGCAGCTCTTGTGTGTATTCCACAGGTCCAAATCAGAATATCCACACTGTACAGGCGTAATCTGAGTCCTGACCTTCCTTTCCACCTGAGATTCACAGGATCAATAGACAGACAAATGAGAAGTAAAGCATCCACTTTATTGATCTGGGCAAGTCCCCAGGAATTGACCCCCTAAAAGATTTCAAGTAAAAGCTGTATTGGAGGAGAAGGTTTAACTATCCTGGCAACTGCATCTGCAAGCAAGCCTTGACTGACTCATGCACCCACTGTCAGCAAAGCAGCAGAGGAGAGGGCAGTGGACAGGTATCTATTGTTTACCTCTTGGATGCCAGAGGTATACGAAGTGTCCCTAATGCTTGAGCACAGGCAGGTCCCAGGGAAGAAGAGCCTGGTAATATGTGAACACTGCTCCCTAGGAAAGGTGACCCAAGCAATAGTAGCTCTTATCAGCCAGATAACATATTTATTATTACTTCTCCCAGAATCAGT